CCAATTCTTCAAAAGGAACCACGCCCTCTTTTACATTGCTTCATAGGCAGCTTCGACGAGCACACCCCATGTTTCTCACCTCCGCATAGGTCTGTTTGGTAGAAATACGTCCAACTAGGCGTCATAAAAAATCACGTTATGTTCTCCGCTCTCACCGTTATCGTACAGGTTCGTTTTAATGCGTTCCGTCTGCCCCGCTGATGCCAAGTCACGACAAATTCTCCGACTTTCCCGTCCGCCCCGGGAAAGCACGGCGGTTTTCTCGCGCATGACCCCGCTACATCGCTCCGAGATCCTGAATCCCGATGGGAAGTGTAAAAGGATACAGAGGCGTAATAAAGCTCCGGGGAAGTCGCGATATGAATAAAGGAAATATCAATTACAAGAACTGCCGGCAACTTTATTTTCCGGAATCGCTGTGCTGCTTTTAGATTTTCTTTTCGCTTCTTGTCAGAAGCGTTTTTCTAGCGTCTCTTTCAGCCGTCGCCCTCATTATAGAAGTAGTTAATTTTTCACTCTGCAAGTGATGTTCTAATCTTTTATCCAATACAGCCGAAGATTCGATCTTTATTTAATGGACTGCATTTTGCCATAAGACATTACCACTTCTTGGAGGGTATGAACCTGTCTGGAAAGTCTACAAATAGAACTGATTTTTTCCCCTGGAGCATGCAATCCCTCCCGCATTGAGTCTTAGTGCATACAATGACATGCCTGCTAGATTTCGATTGTGCAGCCAACGTCGGAATTTCGCCACTTGAAGGTGTCCACTGCATAAGTGCTTAATTTCTCCACTCATGCGGTGGAGAAATTAACGAACTCCTTGATAATCGATTCTTTTCCATAGCTTCAGATGGGGATTCGGGAGGTACCGAAGATCGATCATTTACTCCTCGCCACTGATTTGAATAAGAATGATCGGTGGCCCCGATTCGTATCCTCTTCAAATTACACTCTCCTAGGCCTTGTCTCCACGAGCCGTTTCACGAGATTTGTCCCAGGGAAAAATCCCACTTACGAAGTTGGGAAAAATATTGAGTTAATCAATATTTTTCCCAGTACCAAGTATGGTACTTGTACCCCTAGGACCCACTGAGAGAAGAAGAAGACGTGAAAACGAATTGTGCGATATTTTATTCATTACTACATTGTTAATGTTTGTTTAGTTAAAATAATGTGTCTAATTGTCAATTGAGTGCAATTATTACTTTAATCCCGGTTAAATACTCGACTTTAACCAATTTATTTTCCCGCGAAAACTAGTCGCAGGACTGTATGAGCCCCGTCCCGTGGAGACGGTAACTGGGAAAAATCCCAGAAGTTTCGTTCCTGCGATTCGAACTTGGGACAAATCCCATGAAAACGTCCCGTGGAGACAAGGCCTTAGATGACGAAATCATGAGTTCAGTTACGTCGCGTGCTGTGCAATCGATCAGTCGATCTGTCATTTAAACCTATGGAAAAGGATCGATTGTCAGAGTGATCGCAACGACATCCTATTAATCGACTCTTCACCATACCTTCAGATGGGAATACATCGATAGTCGATTATTCGCGCTTCGCCTCTGCACGAGTTCACCGTACGTTGCGTCGGGAATCATGACCGGGGGGAGGGAGGTGCTGCATGCGTTTGGCCTAACCGGCACGGCGCGCGGAGCAGCTGTTACCAGGCACGCGACCCAGCCTCCAGCTCCGTTCCTTTAATTTTTTCTCACCGAGTTTCGAACATGGCGCGAACGCCATCTGGTAGACAGATAGTTAACCACCTCGCCCGTTCCGTTCCTCGATTCAACTTTCCGAGGAACATTTGTCGTCCATACTCGTCTGCGATGGGGAGGCGAGGAGGGGGCCGAGGGCGATGAAATAAAAAGGGCTGCCTCAGCCAACTGTCTTTGCCTGAAAGGGGTATTATTTATTGGCGGGAATATTACCTCCCGACAGAAGAATCCTGGTTACCGGGCAACGATATCTTCGGAAATACGCACTCTCTGTCGCTCTCTCTCTCTCTCTCCCCTGCCTCTCCCCCCCCCCCNGGGCAGTCTCCTTTCGTCATTTTTAATTTTTCAAATGGAAGATCGTCTGTCAAGTTTTCCTTTAAATTTTCCGTCAGTTTTCGTGTTGTAAGCGAAAATTTTTGCCAAAATGCGGGTTTATTTAATCCATTTTTTTATAATGAATATAGCAAAATACGTAACCATGGACAAAGCTGTAGACTTAGTCCTTCATTCATAAATTAATTTTGATTCGATTCCATGAGGGGTCGTTGAAATATCACGTAGCGCACTTTTTCCGATTTTTTACCCTCCCTTCTCCCCTGTAACGCACCCGTAACGCAGCTCCACACCCCCATCCTTTTGAATTACGTAACGCCGGCCTGNCCGTGATTTATCAGAGAAAACTCGGGTTTTTTTCGAAGATATTTCACTGAATTACGACAGGAAGAAATCAACAAAGGTGTGAAAAGACTCATTCTGGAAAAGCGGGATTTTTAATTGGACGTATTTCTGCCAAACGGAACTATGTCCTTTAAGACATGAGCCCTGAGGTCCATAAGAATATATGAATAATAGGGCTCACGTCAGAATGCACATAGTTCTGTTCGGTAGAAATACGTCCAATTGTTTGCACGGTTTTTTCAAAGTCCCTCTCTCGACTTGGATTTGTTACGTAACACTGGGCTTGACCCCATTCCCTTCTTGAAACGCACCGTAACGATGGCTAAAACGCCCCCCCC